TAAATTATATAACTATATTAAAATAAAATATTATTACTTTTTTATTTTTTTATTTTAACATAAATATATTGAATAACAATTAAATATTTCTAAATAGACATATATATTCATTTTGATAAACAATGGTTAAATATTATAGACAATTATGAGTAAAACTAAAAAACTCATATTTGTTATATATATTTTTGAGAGTATACTGTAAATGTATATTTTATATTTTCTAACTTAGCAAATATTTAACTATTATGTAACAACAATTTTTAAAATGTAATTTGTTATAGTATTTTCAAACAACATTCAAATTTTTTGATATTATTTAGATGTGTTGGTTATATGAAAATTGGTTTGAATTTTATTTAGTATTTAATTTTCCAGTCAATCAAATTTAATTTATAATGCATTTTGAATTTTTCTCTCTTTTTTATTTTAATCCCTATAATTTGATTGGATTTTTTTTCTTCAATCACTGAGTACTTATGCTTACAATACAATTGCAAACTCAAAGTCACACATAGATTATATATTTAAATATATATCTATATATTTTTAACTATGTTATAAAATAATAATAATATTATTATTATTTATTGTTAGTATTATTGCACTTTTAAGTCCTAAAGTAATTTACAGTTTTTTAAATAATTACTGAAAGCAGCTTTCAATGAAAGTTAACGATAGAAAATATAATAATAAATACTAACAAATAAATATGTGAACAGATTTTATAGATAAAGGTGTGTCCTATTCATCTACCTGTGCTCTCAATTATGATGTATACAGTATTATAATTCTCTAGTTTGTAGTCCACTCTAGCTTTTTGTCTCTCTCTCTCTCTCTCTCTCTCTCTTTCTCTCTAATTAAGCAGTTTTAGGTCAAGGAGAGTACGTTTAAGAGAGAGAGAGAGAGAGAGAGAGAGAGAGAGAGAGAGAGAGAGAGAGAGAGAGAGAGAGAGAGAGAGAGAGAGAGAGAGAGAGAGAGAGAGAGAGAGGAATAATTATTGTAATATTAAAGCCCGTAAAAACTGGATTAATTTTTTTAACATTATCTTTCAATTTAAGTTTTGATGGATATTTGAAAAGGAAATACATTTTTTAAAAATACACACAATTTATGTATTCACTTTAAAAAAATAAGACATTAAATATAAAATATCAGAACTTAAGTAAATGTTATGTTCATTGAATTACTATTATTATTGTTAGTTTAAATACAGTATAAATTTATTTTGTATATTACATTTGGGGGTCCAGATTATACTGTAGTTGTATTGTACCTATTAGTGAAAGTGATGGCATGTTTTCTCCCTATTTTTCAAATAATTTATATAAATAATGAAAACATTTTTTTGTTGAGGACATCATTTTAAGTAGTTTTTGATGATGAAAGCATCGGTATCTATCTGGGGAGCTATCACTTACCTGTCTGTTCGTCTAAATTGATTTATTGCTATTATTTATATAAAAATTACTGTTTATACAGCTATGAATAGCTAATGTTTTTTTAGTTTTTTTTGTAAATGTAATATTATATGTCAGTAATAACATAATTAAATAAATGAATGAAAATTTTTTATATTATTTATTGTTTTTCGAAGCAAATTATGAAATTAGTTTTTATTATTTTTTATTTAAACTGTAGTTTTGCGGTAATTAAAACAAAACAAAAACTTTTCTAAACATTAAAAAATTTATTTATTTATTTTATTCAATATATCGTTGACCAAAACATTGGAAATAAAATATTAATTTGCATGTTATTTAACAATATTTAAATTGAAAACAATAAAAAATAGTGATATTAATACCGTATTTAATTATCAATTATCGAAATAAATTTTTGATAACTAATTAAACATTGAAAAACTATCTATGAATTTACACAAATCATGTATTCAAAGCCCTTCATAATTCAATACAAATATTAGATTATAATTACAGCAAATAATTATACTATAAAATCAAATATGTTTAATCAAAACATAAATCAATTGTAATTTATATTCTGTATATAATAATATATAAATATATATTTATATAAAAGTGTGTATAATTGATATCAATATATATATGTATAATTGAATGTCTGGCAGGCATTCAAAATACTTTACTAAAAAACTTTCCGTTTTGTTTGTCTGTTAATATAAAAAAACATTAAAAAACATTTGATTTATTTTAATTAATATCTCATTGAAATTATAAGTGCAAACTTTGTTAAATATTAATTATGTTGAATTGCCAACGCTTAAAACATTTATCGTCATCTATACAGTACAAAAAAACTTAGTTTTAAATTAATTTTAAAAATAAATAAATTATAATTTAATATTTTTAATTAGGTGGTATATAAATCTTATTAATGAAATCAAAATGTAGTGATGATTTTTTTTCTCTCAGCTGATAAACCCAAAGATACAGATTTTTTATACAGTTTTTGCAATAGGTTTTTCAGTAGAGAGAGAGAGAGAGAGAGAGAGAGAGAGAGAGAGAGAGAGAAACAAAAAAAACATTTTTACTTTTCAATGAACTAAATTGCAAATCGATTGCTCTAATTATTTTTGATTTAACAAATTTTTTTTCATACATTTTTACATTAACACTCACACATACATATATTTTATGTTTTTTAATGTGTTTAACAAATGTCCATTTATGTTAAGCGTACATAATGATAATTATTATCATTTATTATTTTTATTGCTATTAGCATTATGGTTATTATTATTATTATTATTTTGATATATCCAACTTACAAATGCCAAAATATATAGACTATATATGGTTTTAAACTTTTTTTTGGTTATTGTTGTATTCAAAGTGTGATTTTTGAACGTCAAATACAATTTGATTTGCTTTTTATTAATCTTAAGTGACAACCGATAAGTCCAATGGTTTGCCCTCAAAGGGGATCGACCTATAGTCACATGTATTACATAACTAGATCTCTCTCTCTCTCTTACTGTCCATTAAGTGATTTATATGCAAAACATATGCATTACATTAAAATCCATGTTTTTTGTTTTATTTTTTTTTTGTAATATAGTTTTTTATGTACTGAATTTTATTATTATTAGTATTTAAATATTTGGGATATGTTTTACAAAATAATTTAAATTTCAAATCACGTGTATATATAAGATATATTACAAATACAAAGTTTATTTAATCGAAACTATTATTTTTATTTTTCAGAAAAAACCATTACTTTCACTTAAAATTTAATTAAATTAAAATGTATTTAAAGTTGTATCAAAACATAAGTATTTACTTAAATGTTTTAAGTATTTGTTTTTATTATTTTTTCAAACATTAGTAATTAGAAAAATTTATTGCATTTTAGTTTTCTTTAAGTTTTAAAAGTTTTGTAATTTACTGAATTTGAAGTATTTAAAAATTACATTAAAAAACAGTATTAACTTAATATAAGTTATTAATAGTTTAAACGATAACTAATGATATTGTAATAAATATATCTTTATTATAGCCATTGATTGAACTATGCTATAATTATCTCATATTAATTAATTTAAAACTATAAATAACAAATTTATATAATTATGCGAAAAAAAATAAATGTGAAACTTTGTTATTAATTTTATTTACATAGTAATTAAGTTGCTATTTTTCCACGTTTTAGCATCAAATACAAACAATCTTTTCAAAAAATAAAACAATAAAAATAATTAATTTTATCAATATCATTTAGTTTGAATTTAGACTCATAGGGAATAAAAGTAAATTAAACAAAAAAATTAGTTCACAAAGATGTTATCACAAGAAAAAGCTTTTTATACATTAAATATATATTTATTTTAGTAAAACAAAAAAAAATTATTTATAATTAAAATTACATGCATTACATGATATTAATATTGCATTTAATCTAGTTTTCCCTTATTTTGGATTACTTTTAGCTAAACAGTATACAGTACTATAAAATTATTATTATTATTATCTGGACATTTTTATGCTAAAATATTTAATTACTTTAAAAATAAATTAACCCTAAAAAGGTTACTTAAAAAACAAACAAACAAAAATAAATATATCTATAAATTAAAAATATTTATTTATAAATTAAATATATGATAAATTTTTATAATGTGTTTTGTTGGCATAATTATTATATTTAAAAAATAATAAGAATAAAAAATTATTTAGAAATCTTTATTTGTATTGAATTTCGTAATATTAGTTTTGATGAAATGAAAGAAATAAATATAATTACTTTGAAAAAATAGTTTTTAATGTCACACGAAATCAATTTTTCAATGAAAATCAAAATCTCATAATAATAATAATAATAATAATACAGTATATTGAAAGTGTTAAACTATTTTTGTTTTTGTTATAAAAATATGTTATGACTTTTTTTAACAATTCATAACACATATTTAGTCGCACGAGTTGTGACTAAAAATAATTTACTAAATATATTATGACATTCATCTAAATTATTAAAGTGTGAAATGATTCACAATTTGACAAAATTGACATAAATTGCAGTAAATTATGCAAAGTTTGGAATTAATAGAAACTTTCATTGGAAACTTTTTATTTTATTTAATAAGTTAAAAGTTTATAATGATTTCAAAAAAAAATCTTAGCAAAAATTTTCAGAAAAATTATCGTAACTTTTTATTTTTTGAAAAGGTTTTTATACATGTAGTTATGTATTCATATTTTTTAATACAGTAATAGTTTTGAGTTGATTTGAAAGTTAATTTTGTTTATTGTCATAACTTTCTTTAAGAAATACATGTATTATTATATTTATTTATTACGTTTCTGTTAATATTTTCTATAAATCTAATTAATTAATATTTATAAACAAATTAAACAAATATTGAGACAAAGTTACAATTGATTAATTATATGTAATAACTTTATCACTTTGTTTGTAATGAAAATTAGGAAAATTTATTTATATGAAATTATTTTTAGAAATATATAATTAAAATAATTAATTTACTATTCATATATTTATTTATATTTCTATATTAGGATCACATTCAAGAAGTATTGATAAAATGGGATCAAATAGATGACGAAATATGGGCTAAAATAATATGTATGGAAAGGAACCGTCGAGTGGCCAAAGCATACGCCAGAGAGCCGGTGCTGACCATCAATGGGTGCGACAGTGCCTTTGATGGCTATCGTATTGGACTCAATGGTTTTGATAATCCAATGAGAGATCCCAAGACTGAAGAATTTAAGCGTTACATTGGTTTGGGTGTCAAAGTCAAGATGGATGACGAGGGAAATGTTTTGGTCAAGAGATTGAGTAAATCCAATGTTTATGTCAAGGGATGGACACGTGATAATGACTTATACAGTAGTGTTTCGTCGGAGATAATCAAAGCCAATGGTTTACTTGAACTTCAGAAGAGTGTCAAACTGTTTGATATGAAGAAGTTTCAGACAAATATCTGTCGCGAACTCAAGAATGCATATCCAGACAGACGTAAACTCGAAGACCAGTGTTTCAGTTGTATAGCCTTTGTTAAGGACGCCACAGATCTACTGGAAGTTCCCGTTTGGGTTATGATTATCAATATAGTGGCACTCGATATGCTCAAGTCTAAACTGCCACCAAGTATGTTGTACCTTGATCATTTTTTTAAAATAATTTTATTTTATTTTTTACTATTATATTTAACCATTAAATATTTTTTTTAAAATATTACATAAAAGGATTGTTTTAATTTGTACAGCAATTAAATTATTAATTAATTTCATTTTTCTTAGTTTTTTTAGTAATATTTTTATTATATACTGTATTAATATGTTATTTCATTTTAAAATATTCACAAATTGCTTATACATTAAGCATTTTTTTATAATTTATAAGTTTATTGTTTATAATAATTATTATTTTATTGATATATAATAAAATCATATTTATGCCAATATTTAACTGGCAATTAATTATCTAATAATTAGAAAAAAACTAAACAATTATATTACATCAGGAAATATAGATTTATTGTATTTAATGTTTTAACTTATGTTAAGTGTATTTAAATTATGAAACATTATCACAAATGTTTAGCTCATCAATACATTTATATAAGTTGAGTGATAATCAAAAGATTTTAAAAATATTTATTAGGAATTGTTAGGAATACTAATAAGATTTAAGTTTTTTTATTATCTCAATAATTATAATTTAATGTTTAATAATTTCAGTAAATTGTTGTACAATATTAACAAAAACACTGGACATCACAATTCGCATATAAATTGTGTTCATTATTATACTGATTATTATTTTATTAATATATTCTAATAATGGCATATATTTTAAAAATAAATAACCATTATATTTATTTTGCTCAATAAAAAAAAAGTTTAATATAATGTATCATTAGAAATCTAGTAATATTTCAATTTATTGTATTATTTTAACAATAAATTAATTTCCATTAAATTATTATTTTTTTAAAGTTTATAATTATAAATAGCAAATACTGATAATAATTTAGCTAACACGATTATTTTTTTTTTGTTTATTTATTTAAAAGTCAATTTTAAAATAAACTTTCAATTAGGAATTGTTTGCTATTTATATCAATTTTTAAATTATTGATTAAATAAATTATTACTTAACAAAAAAATTTGTAATTATAATTATACCGATAAATGAGATAATTTTAAGAAATTATGTATTATTATTACATTTACACTTTGACAGTACATTTCCTTAATAATAAAAAACTTAAATATATTTGTTTTAAACTTGTTTGTAAATTTATAGTTAATTAAATTGTTTAGTTAATTTTATATTTGTTAAATTTTGATGCTAAATATTAATAAAAAATAATAAAATATTTATATTAATTTTAACTGTGCTAATATAAACATATAAAATAACTAATTAATTAATTTTTTGTCATTTTTTACATCTAAAAAAACAGTAGATAATCGTCGTCCCAATCAATTGGCGGCAATGTTTGAAAGATCCAAGAGTTATGTTGAAGACCCCTATGAGGATCCCTATGCTTCTATACCTTCCCATTCAAACAGTGGCAAAACTGTCCGAAACGGTATCACCGACAGACCTCCACGATTGCCGCCACGCGACGGATTGACCAGAAAACAGACGCCAAATTTACCGAAACCCGACTATGAAGTGGACACTGAAAATCATATGCAAAAGACATTAAGTGATATCAGTAGAAAATACGGTAAAAAAATCTTAAATACAATTATTTGTAAAATATAATGAGAATATTGTATTTAATATAATAACTATATTATAACTAAGTTATTATAATATATTATTCTTTGTTTTATTTTACAAACAGAGGATCCATATTATTGTGGATTTAAGGCACGTGTACCTAATTTTGTCAAAAGATCGCCAAATGGCAACACCAGTAGTAAACCGGAACCGACGGCACACAAGAAAACTAGTAGAGGACTGTTGGGAAAGTTGAGCGGTAATAGCGGCGTAAAGGGTGGCCATTACGGGCTAACACACGCAGAATCTGACGGCTTTCTGTGTCGTATGAATGGCGCCAATAGTGTGAGCAGTGGTTATGTTAGCGGCAATTATGCCACGAGTATCCGTAGCAGTGATAACAATGATATCTATGGTATTAATAACCGAAAACATAGTTTACAATCAAAGTATGGCTTCAATTTGAAACCAAATCAAATGAGTTCAGTAAAAATGCATCAAATGTTTAGTCCCCGATCGGGATCGGGTGGGCTGGTTGTTGGGGACTGGGAGTGATAACTACTTGTTTATCACAATTGTTAAATAATTATTATTATTATTCGCTTTTTTATTATTATTATTAAATTTATTAAATTAATTTTGACATTAATTTAAAATAATTGAACAAAACTTATTATTTTCATTAATAATGGAAACTCATGTATACTTAATGTAATATTATTTTTTTATTTGTATATTGCAATTACAACGTTAACAATTATAATTATTTTTTATTATATACTGTAGTAGTAATTGCAATATCTGTTTAAATTAATTGTATTAAAGACTGGAGATATCATTGTTATTTAAAATTACACAAAAAATTACTAAAGCTATGTTTAATTTTATTTCATTAAATAATTAATAAGTTTCAAAAAAAACATAAATAACTATTTTATTATTTAATTTAGTTGAATTTTACACAAAATGTTTGTTTTTTTAGTTATTGACATTTTTGTTTAAAAAAAATATTATAAAATTTTTCATATTATTAATATTAGTCGATACTACTAATATGATTGCCAATTATCTGTTTTTAAACAAATAGTCAACTGTTATATATTGGGTTCATATTTATCTTAATATTATTGTCATAAAACGGCTGTCCTTTACTAATAATGTCTGCTTTAATATTTAGGATGTGCTAAACTTATCTACAAATAATTTTTTTAAAATTGGACATGTTTAAAATTTAGTATTAAAAATTATTTGGTAAAATTAATATATTATTATTTTTTTTGTATACATATTATAAATTTAAAATTATTTTCTTTTAAATAGCATGTTCAATTATAACAATCTGTTTAATATATTAATTGGATATTAAATTAATATTTTTTATATAATATATATATTTTTTATTTTTCAAAAGTTTTGTATACATTTACTTTTTAAAAACATAATTGTATTATTTTGTCATATTTTTTTTGTTAATCTAAAATAAAATAATAAATTATTAAATACAATATCATAAAATAACTTAATATAAAAAAAACCTAAAAATATTTTATTCATCTATAAAATTGAATATTATAGACAATGTACAGTACATTGTTTTTACTATTATTTTAAAAATAAAATTCAATTGACAATAAGTGATTGAAATATTTTGTGATAATTTAGTAAATAAAATAAGAAAGAAAATTGAAATGATTTGAAATTAACCGAAACTTTGCTTTTTATATAAAAACAACAATAGAGAAGATGTCTCGTAAATTACTTCTCGAAATATTATTGTATAAATTGTTTTAAAATATTTAATATTTTATTAAATAAATACTTTATACATATTTAGTAATAGTTTAAATTGTTTAAAAATTCATTGTTCAAAACTACTAACGATATACTGTATCCATTGTAACCAATTTGACTAATAAATACTATAAATGTGTCTTAAAATACTTAATCTTCTGTTATGTCAATGTTGTGTATCATCTAATAAGAAAAAGAAGAAAAAAGATAAAAACAAACAAAGCATTAAACAAGTGATGAGACAAACAAAACCATCGGATAAGACTAAAATCGGTTGGTTTACAATAAGTGGCGAAAAACTAACTTATAGTCAAATTGATAACAAAGATCTGACTCAAGAATATTATATTCCTCGAGATTTTAAATCTGAAGACGAATGCGTCAGATTCAAGGGATGGAAAATTAAGGAAGAGATCGGATCCGGTAGTTATGCTAAAGTCTGGGAAGCCATCAATATTGAAAATCCTGATAAAATTGTTGCCATAAAGATACTGCCATTTAATGATAATGTCATCCAAAGCAATAAAATGAAACAAAGAAATTGGGATAATTTTAAACAGGAATTAGTTTTATTAGTCCGAGAAAAACATAAAAATATTGTCGAAGTTTTCGACCATTTTATTATTTACGAAAGTTGTGATAAATATAATTGTTATATTGTTATGGAATTGGCTAAACAGGGATCAATTCTTAAACAGATTATAGATGAAAATCATGAATACAATGACTCTCTGTATAAACCATTGTCCGAAATCAAAGTAAAATCATATTTCAGAGATACAGCCTTTGGTTTACAGTATTTGCACAATAAAAATATTACACATAAAGATCTTAAATTAAGTAATCTATTGGTATTTATTGATAAAAGCGGTCAAGAAATGGTCAAAATTGCCGATTTTGGGACGAGTCGGGTCAGCTATAAAGAAGATGTGGTCAAAGATTATAAATGTTACGGAACTGTTGATTATATGTCACCACAAATATTCAGGATTTATGTTTACATTCAAATCGGACAGAAAATAGATGTACTCAAGAAATACAATCCATTTGAAGCCGATCTCTGGTCACTCGGTGTCTGTCTTTATGTCATGATTTGCGCCAAAATACCATTTCTGCCCAAAGATTGTGATTCATATCATGAAGTAAACCAAAATATAAAGACTTATAAATTTATTTATAGAAATATGATTAATAAAAGATATGAAATATCAGATCAGACAATAAATACTTATACGGATCAATGTTTAGATATTTTGTCACAACTATTACATCCAAATTCAAGTGATCGCATCAAAATTGACGCCGTTTTGCAACATAAGTGGCTCAACAGTCAAACAAACGATGAAAATTATGAGATTATTACTTAAAAATCAAATTTTAAAACTACTATTAGTTATACAATAACTAAATATCAAATTAATAAAATATTTTTTAATGTTAGTTTTCAAAATTATTTGTTATACAACTTATTATTTATAATGTATTTTGTAAATAATTATTAATTAATTAGATTTCATTAAGTTTTTTGGCTGATTATAGTTAAAGTTTACTACTCTGTTCATTAATTAGACATATATTTTGACGATATATTTAATAAAATTGCGAAACATATTAAATAATTTAAATAATTAATAGTCATTTCACTACACTTTAAGAGCTAAAAGGTGGTAATTGAGATAAAATAATATTATATTTAATTGTATTATAATTTACACGAGATTTATAAATTGTTGCAATTTATGTAATTTTTAAGACAATTTTGTTGATAAATGTTAAAAAAATATTAAAAATGTAAAAAAATTATTTTTAACTAAAAAAACAATTTTCACATTAATTATTGATCAATCAGATAGATTTATGCCAATCTTTTATTATTTAATGTTTAAATTAAATTATAATTATAACTGTTTTAATACAGTTTTACTATTATTATTATTTAAACTCAAATAGTTATTAGAATATTAATTTTTATACAAATATAATTACAACTAAATTTATAATAACAAAAAAGACTTAATTTTTAAATATTTTTGTTTTTATTAAATTTTGTTAATATATTAGTCGTGATCTCTTCTGAATTCATCCCATGCTTTCATAACGTATTCGTGATTATCGTAATCCAAGTTATCTTTTGTGTACAAACAGGAAAAACATCCAGTTTTAGGTCTGTGCTGTATTGTAGCCAAATCACACATTTTGTCCACCAGTTTATAGACTTCCCTGAACTTTGGTTTGTCGGCAAACTTTTGGTCCGATTGGGCGCTAAGCTCTTCGGCCACTTTGAACATTGACGACACTTTTTGTATGGCATGAATGTACGCCAAACCCATACACCCGCGCATATGTTTAGGCATCACTTTATGCCAATTGACATCACCCTCATTATCATTGATTAGCACCCATTCATATTCACGATTGTAGGCATCTCTCAGACCTTGTGTATCAGTTTTGATATATTTCTCAATTATAGCAAACGATTTGTCAAATATTTGATATTCAAGTGATTTAATGTCTTCTTTTGGTTCAATTGTGGACTCTGTTTGACCCATGATTTTGATGTCATATAAACAAAAATAAATATTTATTTATTTAAAACTTTTAGCACTGAAAACTTATTTTTGATAAAATGTTGATCAATTGAATTAATGTATTTTAATAAATCAAATTATATCTAAATTGATTTTTGAAAATAGATTATTTTGTTTAAATATAATATTAATGTTTCAATTTACGATTAATGCAATTTCACATTAAGTTAAAGTGTTTAACGAAATAATAATTTAAAGACAAATCAATTATAATACAGTTTATTGTATTTCAATAATTAGTTCACTTTTAGGACAACTTTTGCTAGAAATAGTAACTAAAGTATTATTATTATTATATTTAAAAACATGTTTTACACAATAAATTCATATAACAATTCAATTTAATAAAACTATTTAAATTTGTTGACACTAATAGACGTTAAATAACTAATAAATTTTCATATGTTATGTCAGTTAATTAGTTAGATATCAATGATAAATATTCGTTATATTCATATATACAGACATAAAAATAGACACAAATTTAGACGTAAAACAAGAAAAGAAAATAATTATAATTTAGATATTATAATATATTTTCTGCAAATTCATCAAATTTGTTGTTATTATCAAATTAAACGTTAGTTAAAATCAATTTTATCATAACTTTCGCTGTTATATATATTTTTTTAGTTGACACTGAATTAAGGCAATAAGTAGTTATAATATAAAATGTATAAAAATGGTAAATATTATATATATATATTTATGAAAATTTAATTATTACAAGTCATGTGGTGTTTTGTAAATACAGGTATACTTTTTCAATACTTGTATATTATATTTGTGTAATGAATCGTATAATTTGCTGAATAAAAATAAATAAATGTCTATTTAATGAGTCATTCAAACATATACAACTGATTTAAAAATTTACACTAACAATAATAATAATAATCATAAATTTAAAAAAAAAATTAGTGTAAATATATTTTTTATGTGTTGTAAATATAAAATAATAAAAAAACACATAATGTTATCAATTAATAATTAAGTATCATACTAAAAAAATAACATTGGTGGTAAAATAATTATTGTATATATATATTAATATAATAATTGATAGGTTGTTATTGGCGACTATCAGTTGGTATTTTAAAAATATATATAAACATTAAAAAAGAGTTAATAAAAAATATCAATAAAATCATTGACAACACCGACGACTGTCCAATCACTGGCCAAACTGTTTCCAGGCATCGATCACATACTTGTGGCTATTGTATTGATCGCCACCCCATATAACCCATCCTAATATCGATAATTTCGGATCCAACTCCCGATTCCTCAATTCAATGAGTCGTTTAACAGAATTATGAATCTCATTGAAAGACTTCTTATCTTTTCCATTGCTTGACTTCTTTGCCTGTTTGAGTAGATGTCCTGTCTTTCGGATGGCATCGACATAACCCATACCATTGGAGTGTAAATGACTGGTCAATACTTTGTGCCAATTAAGATATCCTTTGTCCCGATTGGCGGCCAACTGGTATTCCCGTCGGAATCGTTCGGCCACACCATTAGTATTGTTTTTGTTGTACCTTTCGATCAAAACAAACGAGTTGTCAAATATGTCATATTCAACGACCTTTCTGTGTCGGTCATCGCTGGCTGTACTCAACAGTTGACCCATTTCTGTGCACCGGTAGATCAGTTGCGACCGCTAAGCGATATATACCATACAATAAAAAATAGTTTCAATTAATTATCATATTTGCTAATTATTTTATTGTTATAAATTAAATGCCACTTTATAAATATAATAAATTTTGCATAACTATTGTTATCATTATTATTTTTATTAATAATAATTAATTGTCAATTTTTACAATCTGGATAATTTTATATTATTGCAAAATAGTTATTATTAATTGATAAATATTGTTAGTTTAACAAGTTTTTTAATGATAACAAACTTGTTTTAGTATTATAAATGACAAAAAAAAAAGTTTATCAAATAAAAATAATTATCGCAATTATTGTTTAAGTGTATAATATAATGTATATCATTTAGCAATTATCATATCATTTAAATATTAATAATATTTACTTATATATTTAATTTCAGATAAATAAAAAAAACTATAAAAATTAGTTAAAATGATTAATATTATAAACAAATAATTATTAAACTTTTTATAATTAATAATTTGTGTCATCAGTTTAATTAGCAAAAAAAAGTAAAATTAAGATTTTTTTTCATAACTATTAATACAAAAATTTTTACTTTATTTAGCTAAACCTTGATCATATTTTTTAAAAATACATATTATTAAACTAACAATTAAAGGTTATATTAATAAAACTGTATCATAAAATTAGAATTTGATAATGCTAATTTAACTATAAATAATACATTGCTACAAAAAAACTATAGGTGTTCAATATTGTACAATATATTAGTTAAACAATTTAAATAATGTAATACTAAAATTAGATTTATGCTAAATTTGTTTTACAAAGTTATAATTAGTTAAATATTTAAACAAGTTTTTGAACAAACAATTAAAAAAATATTATAAATAATTAATATAATAATAATTAACTTACATTTTGTCATTCAAATATAATATATATATAAATCACTTAACAATTATTGTGTTAACAATGATAGTCAGGATAACAGTTTAGTTGCATTATATCATCTATTTATGACATAATACAGTCCTTATGATTTAGCGAAGACTCGGGGCTTTTTAATATGAATTATATATATATTTTGTGTTACTATGACAACAAATGTTATTAAACAAAATACAAATAGTTTGACAATCATTTCATTCATTATAGGTCTTTACGGTCTAAGTGTGTGCATAGCATTAGACAATCATTCCATTCATTATAGGTCTTTACGGTCTAAGTGTGTGCATAGCATTAATAGTGTATTCTTATTAGGTCACTCTTAAACTACGTTATCATATTTATTTCTATTTAACAACAAATATTATAAAACATTGTATTTGAAAGGAATTATTATTTTTTATGCCGAGTTGATTCCAAAAATGTTCACTGTATTTTTTTTACAAAAACACACGTAATATTATGTGAATTCAAATTTTTGTGACTAATATACTGAATATTTTCATTACATTTTTTTTAATTCAGACAATCATCACATGATTTTTTCAATGCAATACAATAAACTGTAATTTATTTTAAAAGTAAAGTTATATATAATTTTCTTTTTGTTTTATTTTTGCATAAACTGTAAACTAAAATATTATGTAATATAATAATAATAAACCAAATGTTACCATAAATAGCAATACAATACGTTGGCATAAATTATGCCCACTTTATAATAGTTTTAATGTATTAGACATTGTATTTAATTATATATATATATTTAGTATTTGTATTGTGCATTAACATTGATATTATGCAAAATAAATTGTAAAATTATTTTTTTTATAAACTAATTAGCATTATATAACACTATCAAAAGTTATAATTGAAATTTTATGGATATTTTTGTTGTTGTTTTTTGTTACTAATTAAGCGCTAATATAATAATACCTGTTTTGCGACAAATAATGCAAACACACGTCGACTAGCATTCAATAGCATTGATTGTTCAAACAATTGTTCAAAAATAACGTCAAAATATGTTATATTTGGGGCAAAATTATGCGTCAAGTGATTTAAACTTTTGAATATACAATAAAATTTCAATTTGTAAAAAAAATATTATTTAATTTTGAAATACAAAATTTAATTTGTTTAATAAAAAGATAGTATCACGAGTTTGACAACAAGTGATTGCAATATTTAATTAGTTTTTAATTTTATTGTTTTTGTGTAATAATAAAATATAATACAGTATATAATAAATTTCAAAGTTTTTTTAAAAACTATTATACTAATATACAAATATATTAATTAAATCTATATTTTTAAAACAAATACAGTAAAAAACAATAAAAACATTAATAAATGTTTAAATATTAATTTAATACTTTGTATATTCTTTTTATTTATAAGTACAGTATATTTACATGGGTTTAAAAGTAATGATTTACTAAAAAAAATTATAATTTTGCAAAAATATTAAAATTAAATTTGATTATTAATATTTAGCAATTAAGAATACTTAATATTTATAGTTGAAAAAAACAAAATAAACATTTTAAATAAAATCATTAAAGTTTATTATTTTTAATTAAATAATATATATATAATGTTAACATTTTTGTTTAAGTGACACATTAAATAAATCTGGTTATATAAATATTGTAAACATTTAAATTTAAATTAACATAAGTTAGATCAGTTAAATGATAAAAATATACTTATACAACAAAAATAATTGTCTTATACATTTTTATTTTTGAAATTTACAATTTTACAAATTTATTCAATTGATTTTTAGGATATATTTTAAACTTTATTTATACACTGTATTAAAATCAGACAATTAAATAAAAGTAAAAATAAATTGTATAAAAATAAGAAAATTATATATGAAATAATTTTTTGATACAAAATTAGTTCAATTAGCTGAAAGCAACTAAAGTAAAAATGATTTTTCACTTGATGTTAGAGAAAGTAATAGTTTTATTTTGAAACTAGTTTTTAAAAATACTTTTATAGTTTATATAAAATTAGTGATAAAATTTAGTTATGATATTAATTTTTTTGTGAAACAATGTCAAAAAAGTCTGTCATATTGTTTGCATTAATGAATGGCACAGAAAATATCGACTCGTGTCAAGTGTTGGCCAATTATTTACAGGAAAAAGGCTATCAAATAGTGATGGCATTTGACAAGACATCTCAAGCATACATGAAAACCATTGACTGTCAACAGGAAGTCATTAATATAGAGTTTCCGTCGAAGACTTTGAAGAATACCAATCAAAATGTATTCAACGGATCGCCAATTAATGTGATGAAGAAGTTTAGTCATAAATTGATTGTCGATTCATTTGCTTTTGTCAAACAATGTGAAGATTTTAATATATTACTCGTCAAACGTATCAAACCGGACCTAATCATCATAGAGTCGATGATCTGTTCGCCAGCACTAATCAACTCAGGTATACCATGGATTTGGTTAAACTTTTGTCCGCCAAATATATGCCAAAACGACAGTCGTCTACCTCCCGGATGGTCAGGTAAGCCGTTATCTGTTCATCATTTTCTTAAGTTTTTCAATTAATTTTATTTTATTAAAAGGTTTGACTAAAACTAAACCAAACGAATGGAAAGTATTTAGAGAGGAAAGGGATGTTATTTTTAAAGAGTTAAAACAACAAATAACTAATTGGTGTGCACTGAAGGGTCAGTTTCAAGAGTTACCTTTAGACACATTTCATCCTCAATCGCCTGTTCTCAATGTATACGTCTATCCGAATGAATTGGACTCAAAGTTAACACTTCCCTGGAATATGAGAAACTGGATGCAAGTCGACTGTCTTATCAAGGAATCGATGGTTAAAAAGTTTGAAATACCGGAGAAGTTTCATAGCAAACACGATAAACTTGTATTCATATCAATGGGACCGTTAGCTGGCGCTCACATTATGACTAAGTTGGTCACTGTGTTAGCCGAATCTTCGCATAGATATATTGTATCAAAAGGACCGCACAATTTGCACTATGATTTACCCGACAACATGTATGGTGTTGAGTACATACAGTTTGATGATGTTGTCCATAGTGTTCAATTGATTATCACTTGTGGCGATACAAAAACTATTGTTCAAAGTCTATATCACGGAAAGCCGGTTATAATAATGCCGTTATATGGAGATCAGTTGGACAATAGGATCAGATTTAAAGAGATTGGCTTCGGATGGGGTCTGGATCCGTTTGATTTTAATAAAGAAACATTGTTTGCTATGATTGACAACTTATTATATGACAGACAACTGTCCCGCAGATTGAGTCTAATATCAAAGTCAATGCAAACGTCAAACTCGTGTCAAATGATTGCCGATAAAATCAATAATATATTGAATGTTATTAAATGTAAGGATAATAATAATATCGATGACAATAAAAACATAGTAATTAAGAATAAAAGTATAGATATTGTAGCTCAGGTAGGTCAGGTAGGTCAAATAGTGGCTTAAAATAATATAAATGTATTTTATAATATTAATATATTATGAGATCCATAAATAAAGATTGATAATTTTCTAGTAAATATTATTTTTTTATGTTTATGCAATTACTATAATTATAAGCACATTATTTTTATATATATACTATTTCTAATGATATTAGTTATAAATTATAATTTACTGAAAATTTTCATATAGCATATTATAATATTATACATTATCACTTAACATTAAAATTTAATTTTAAAAATACAATTTTGACTGAAATTTTATTTATTTTGTTTTTGTTGCACTTAAAATACTTATTAATTAATTAATTGAATTTTTGACTGAATCTCAAATAAAGTATAGTACTTATTAAGAATATTTTTATTTTCTTTACTTTCTAAAAGCATATTTTAAAACAATAATTGACATAAATTTTTAAATAAAATAATTTATAAAAAAAATAAAAAGGCAATTAGTTTTTTTTATATTTCAATAAACTAATAAAATATTTATTTTTAAAATTTAACATACTTTTATAGCTACAGGTACTAATTAATAAAATAATAAGTTACTATTATATTTTTTTATTAACTCTATTAAGCTAAAACAAAAAAAATTCCTAAAATTTTTTTTAATTATAATTTTTAATATATTTTAAAATTATGTATGAAATCAACTAAAAATGAAATTGTTTTCTAATTTCTTATCTAAAATTATTATATAAATATAGGATAATTATTATTAAATTACAATATAATAACTTATTTATAAATAGTTATCAAAGTTTGTTAATCGGATAATAATTATATAATGTATTTTTATCGCAAACTTGTTTTCATTTGTTAATTATAGTCTGATATAGTATTTAATACAATATAACTGTTTTCAAAATATTATTTTAAAATTTTTCAGTTTAGCCTATTATCAGAAATACTAAAACTAATTTGATTTAAGTTTTAATAATAAAATACAGTACACTAAGACATATATAATACTAAATTAGATAATTTAAATTATGGATCAACTAATTGATGACAAAAAGAGTACCATTTTGTTTGTGCCAAACAATGGATGCGAAAACTTGGAGTTTCTTAAAGTGTTTGCCGACGGACTCAGAGATCGCGGCCATCGAGTGGTGTTTGCTTTGAATGTCGGCAACGAAGAGCTGGTAATTAATAATAATTTAAGCCATTTATTAGATTTGAATAAATTGAGTAAAAACTGGATGTGGGATATGGATGTTGAGGACAGTAATCTGTTTAGACGACCAGCTATTGAAGTGTTTGAATGTTTTACAATCAAGTGTTTGTGGAAAAAGTTTGCTGAACTCAGAAAAAGGGATTACTATTTGAAAAAACTGATCAAACATTTCAAACCTAATCTGATTGTTGTTGAATCGATACTGTGTTCACCCGCTGTCACAGATTGTGGTATACCATGGGTTTGGATTAATTTCGGTGCTCCTAATCTTTTTATGGACAACTCTTTACTTCCACCGATGTGGTCGGGTATGTATATAAATTAATTAATTAAATTTTAAAGACTATAAGCTACAAATATGCTATTTATATTTATATGATATAATTTTTTAATCTATTTTTTAATCCTAAATATAAAATATTAAGGATTTTCAATGAATTCATCGGAAATATTAGTGAAGAAGTTTACAGAAAAAAGAGATCAATTAATGCAAGATTTTATGTCTCACTATAACAAATGGCTTATATCTATGGGTTTAAGAGGACAGTCAGTTAATGCACTACATCCTCACTCACCATATCTTAATCTATACTTTTATCCGCAAGAGATAGACTATCAGTTGAAAGATGATTATCTACCGGACAATTGGTACCAATTTTGTTGTCTTATGAAAGCCATCGACAATACAAACAACATTGAAATACCAATTGATTTGATGAACAAACGAGAAAAGATTATTCATTTTGCATTTAAATCTTATGATAACAGCTATAATAGTCGACAATTGATTAGTCGGTTGTTTAAAATCTTAAGTCAATTGCCCAATAAATTTGTCTTAATTGATGATCAGTTATATAAAGACTATAGCATTCCCAGTAATTTTTATTTATTGGACTATTTATCAACCGATGAGGCCATCCATATATCGGATCTGGTGATCACTAATGGCGACACACCGACGATAACAAAAGCCATGTTTTATGGAAAGCCTATGATTGTGATGCCTATGTTTGGCGAACAGTTAGACAATGCACGGTATCTTAAAGAATCGGGTTTTGGTGTCACTCTGGAGCCATACACTTGTCATTTGTCCACAACTTACGGATCAATTAATGCTTTACTTGAAGACAAAAGTCTTCATAAAAGACTTGATATTATATCGTATAAAATGCAAAACTCATCGGATATTAAAACAATTTGTACAGCCATTGAACAACTGTTTTAAGATATAATAATTATTTTATTTAATTGTTTGACTAAAATTTAAATATATTTCAAATATTTTTTTTTTACAAATATTAGTTAATAATTAGATTAAAATTATACTGTAGTATAGTATATAGTTGTAGGAAATTTTTAAATATTAATTTATATAAATTTTAAATCTAAAATATTCACTATGATTTGATATTTATTATATTTATATTAAATTCACTTTATGTAGTTTTTGAATTTTAATATAATATATTCTATAAATAAAACATAATTATTTATTAATTTGTACAAAAATAGATGTAGTAAACAACAATAAACAGTTAAAAACATATTGATATAAATTAAAATTATTTAATAATAAATAAGAATTCTATATACAGTATATATTATTTGCTAAAATAATATTCTTCAAAAAATTTTATTTAAATTTTCTATATATATACTGTATTAATAACTAGTGTATACATTATATTGAAAAACATAACATATAACTAGAAAATTCATACTATGAATACAACATATAATATAATAGATTAAAATTGATTATAACATTGAAAGCATATTATCTAACATTTGATAACAAGTAACAAAATCTAGTTTTATATTAAAAAAAATAATGATAAATCAATAAAAATTTAATTATATACTCAATTATTGAACTATATTTTAAGGCAATACATACTATACATTAGTATTGTGTACTGTAATATTCAATATTAATATTTGTTTTTTATATTCAAAAGTATTTTACTAATTACAGTGTTAACAACATATTAGTTTCAAAATTTCTCATTTCCTTTAAACACTTATATAGTAATTAAGTGCTAAAAATATATTTGAATTTTTATATATTATTATAACATTCTTTATTTAATGCTAAATATTCATTTATTTTGCTTATTTTAATTTATTTTTAATTAAAAAAATATAAGATTTATGCCTTATGAGATTTATAATAAGTAATATGCAATATATTACTGTATTTGTTTGTACAGTATATACCGGTAAAGAAGTATAATTTATATATTTTAATACAATATATTGTAGTCAGAAAAAATAATAATATAGTAGTTATAAAAAAATATTATAATACAAAAATACTATTTTAGTAGAAAATATTACAATTTATTAAATAAATTTAATTTGGTATTAATACATAATGTTTTAATAAAGTATTTAAACATAAAGCATATTACAAGTAAATGTTAAGTACTATATGTTTATTATGTTAACTTAATTTACAATATAACCATATATATTAGATTTTACAATTCAAATACACAAATAAAGTAAATCTTATAAATTAAATAAGTTTCTAATATGAATCAGTACATACTTTTAAAAAATTAATTATTATTAATACTTTATTATTAAATTCTAATAAATTTTATTGAACATTTTTTAAAATGTACATATAATAAATAATTATTTGCTAACTAAGATAAATATATTATATTTTTTAGCAACTGATGTGAAACCTATTGAAGTAAAATCCCAAAAGCAATGTATCCATACATTTGTTATATTTGGCAACAATAATACATTAGATAATAGACTATAATGTTAGAGTATTATTGTACTGTATATATCATATTACTGTATATCTTAATATAAATGTATGAATAAATTTAGTTTTTTTAGAGAATATATAAAACTCAGACTTTTACTATTTCTACTTAAGTAATAGAACTTTGAGTTAAAATAATAGTTCATTAAAAAAATTGTTTTCAACATTTATAAATAGTATATATTATTAATAATAATTTATTACTGACATTACATTGTTAACAGAAATATTTTTTTATAATAGTAAATATTTTTAGTATGTTTTTATATAAAAAATATAAGTTAACAAAAAAATTAATTTTATGAAAAATAGAATTTATTAGATTTTATTTATTATCACTTATTGTGTTTCGTCTTTCAAATATAATATAATTTTAAATAATAATTTATATATCAATATAAAACACTTTTTTGGTTCATAGTTGATGTCCGACTCCTTCAAACGCTTCAAATTTTTTGATGTTATTTATTTGATTGTTATTATTGGTAATAGTATGGGATGTCCTAATAAAACGAATAGATCCCAGTTTGTAGTCATCATTAGGTATACCTCTGGCTTTAGGAATCGGTTCATTGTCTGAATTTTCGTTATAAATCACTTTTCGACCGTCCAATCGATAGCCTAAACTTTTCTTAGATATTTCAGTTTTAATAGGATTTTCAATATCAAACATCAGATTACAATCAACGATATAGACTGCTTTCATGGGTTGGGTTTCAATAACGGATAATCCGTATGTCATGTCATCGAAATTAATGTCTAGGATATCACCGGTGGTCAGACACGCCAATTGTTTTAAGTTATTTTCGAGAACAGTCCTGTAATCAGGAATGTCAAAAAAATCAGATGATTGCGGTTGGAATCGGGCAAATGTGGCCATCGGTAGTACAACATTTTCAATCATAATCATTGATTCATTTTCAATACACATATTTCTCATCATCCAATCGGGTAGTATTGCCTGTCCTTCATCCGACAAAAATTCAAGTACACCACAATGTGTGATACGATTGGTTAAGATATTGGTTAACCTAAACATCCAGGGACATGAAATTTCCATCCAATTTAATGCCACCAATGATGTTATCGGCAATATTATTTTGCCACCCTTTTCGATGTCCTGTCTACCGGTTGCCGATCTGGTCATTGAGTGGCATCTGAAATAATTCACGTATTGACGTCTATTAATTCCGAGTAAATGATAAACATTTCGCATTTTGATTGATTTTAGTTTATCAAAAATTACATAAATTACAAAAATAAAATACTAAATTGAAAAAGTAATTCAATGCACTTTATTTTATAGTACTAATTATTAATTTTTTTTTTAAATTATATTAATTTAATATAAGAGTATTTTTTTGAAATTCTCATTTATAGTCTACTTGATAATCACTGATATATATTCATAATATATTCACTAATACACACAGTCATAATATAAGTACTTTTAAATTTTTTCAACTTTTTGTAATAATGTTTCTAAATAAACAATAAAAAATTAATAATAATTAATCAGAAAATTTACACTTGTAATCGTATAAAATAATATACGGAAAAAATCTATTAATTTATAATTTAACTTTACCATTTATATTTAAAAAAAATTAATCAAATTCACCCTTGATACTATAACATTGTACAGTATTTTTTTTAATAGTAATATTTCAGTTAAAATTATTGAATAATGTTAAAGTATCCAGGATGAATTTTTCAAGTAAAGTTTACTAAATATTTTGTATAACTTGTTTGTGTGATTCTAGTAATTATTTTTTTTCTCAATATTGAGTCGCCTATCGTACACATTGTCATTAGTTAGTGATTCACAAGTTTTTTCAAACAAAAAAGTAGTCAAAACTTATTGAATTTTTTATTAAAATTCTGAATAATTCAATTAGTATTAATATATATATAATTCTAATAAACATAATGTACTGTACATTACTGTAAATAATTTAAATTTTAAGGTCAAACATTTGTATTTAAAATTACTATTGATATTCATTAATATTTTTGGTATTTATTATTAGTAGTATTTAATTGCATTTTACTTATAAAAATTACTAAAATAAAATACTAAATATAAATACAGTACTATAGATAGTATTATTCTCTAAAGTAAAGTAAATTAAATTTATATTTTTCAAGATATTAAATATTTTTAAGAAAATTGAAGAAAAATTGACTTAATATATTAATACTATATTAAATTTTAGAATTAAAATGATAACTAAAAAAACTAAACTATGTAATATAATATGCATAACATCATATACAATATATATATAAATGATCAAAAAATGTAATCTTTAATGTTTTATTCATAGTAAATAAAGATTTATTACAAAGATTTCAATATTATAATAAAATATAAGACATTAAATATATAAATTAAATTAATTTTTTATGAATTTTTAATATTGTCTAATATATTATTTTCACCATATACATTATGTTATAAAAATATAACTTAAATTTTTAGTAATAAAATTAAGTTTTATTAATTTATTTTTTAAAAGTATGTATGGTGATTGCTTAATATTATTCAATATTCAATTTTTAAATAATATTCATTTATTGGTTGAATTGATAATTTAATCTAAAATATTTTCAATGTAATATATTAATAAAATTTACTATTTTATTTATTATATTAAGCTTATGTATAAATTATATTAAAGTTATTGGTACAGTACATTATGTTAACATCTAACATAACTAATATAAAATTATATAATAATAATACAGAGAATATTCTGTATAGCATTTATAGACCGGCGCACTGTTAGCTATCATCAGATATAGATAGACGACACACATGTACCACAAGAATATTGAATATACAGCACTTGTATTGACTCACATAATATTTTGTTAGCCAAAAGTGTACACATCCTGTATGTCTCTAACATTACATAATCTTATATATTCAATATAATACTTAATATTTAGTGTGTTTCTCGTTTTTTACTGTCATTAACAATATTTCATCCAACTTAATGTTATTATATTTAGTAGTATTATTAGTATTACTTTTGTTTTTTATGCTGAATAATTTCAACAATTATCATTATACTTTTCATACATTGTAAAAGTTTTATATATAAATCTTTATATATATACAGTATAATATTGTGTATTTTTAAATTTTTATTTATATAATATTTTTTATTAATTGTTTTAAATATTAATATTTATTATTATATTTATAAAAAAATACAAATAAAATAATAATAATAATAATAATAATAATAATAATAATAATAATAATAATAATAATAATAATAATAATAATAATAATAATATAAATTTAAGATTTTGTTTTTTTGGAAAGTCTAAGTGATTTTTAAAAATATATAATTTATTTATTATTGTGAATCACAACATTTGTTGTATGAATTTAAATAAATAATTTTATTTCTTAGAAATATAAATACTGTAAAATACAAAAGTTATGTATAAACACAAATAATTTTTAAAATGAAAAAAATATTATTCCAGTCGATTTAATTTAATATTAATGTAAAATAAATAACAAATTGAATTTTAAGTTTAAAAATCTAAAATAACAAAAAATACTCTAACAGTGTATTCTATTATATATTCACAAAACAACTAAATTTCATAAATGATTTGTTAGTTACTAAAGATTCAATGGTTGAATCAGACAACTAATACTAACTTAACATAAATATTTAATAATAATAATATAAATAATTTTTTTTGTCAAATCTATAATATATGGTGTGTTGAGTGGCTAAAGACGACAACGACGACGACAACAACAATAAGAAATGCCTTATTTTTACGTACATTCCGTTAGGGAAAGGCTGTGCACAGCCGGAAGGTATTCATTAGCAATGTTTATATATATATATATATATATTATATACTTATATATTGTAATGTAAATACTTTATATGATTTCTTGAATAATATTGTTTTATAAACACAAATAGTTATGTATATAAAAATATTATTCTTGAAACCTACACATAGACACAGAAAACACTCAATAAGTGTTTAATAATAAAATATTGAAAATTATTTAATATTTTTCTTATATACTATAAAGTAGTTGTTATTAATAATATTTCAAAATAAACAATATATTTCTAAAAATTCTATATTAAATTATTTCAATTATTCAATTAAATTATTATTAAGATATTTTTATTTTAATATTATAAAAAAAGATTTAACAAAGCAAAGCTTTAAAAATAATTAAAATAGATTTAGTAATTTATTTTTGTTTAATTATATTGCATTTTAGTTTTCTAGATATTTATTTTAATTATAGTCAATAAAATATATTACTTTTATTTAATTAAAACATAAACATATTATAAAAAAACTTAATAATATATGTCAATATATTGTCTAATCATATGGTCAGTACTAATGATAATAGTATAACAAATATTATGTTATTTATTAACATTTACAAACTAATAAAAATAAAAACTTTTATCTAAAATACAATAGTTTATTGAATTTTTTTTGGATTTTTGAATTAATTCAAAATTAATTAATTTCAAGATTTCAAAAATAAAAATATGAAATTCAATACCATATAAGTAATGTTAAGTAGACTCAATAATACTGAATTTAATCACTGATTAAAATATACTGTACATTAAATACAGATTAAAATCGGTAATCATGTAAATAATTTAATAGTGTGTATAAAAATAAAATTAGTAATAGAAAAAAAATTAAAATCTTAATTAAATTATTATATTTTCTTTTATATTATAATGTTATTTATTTTCATCGATTAATGACTTTTATATATCTTCTTTATAATACTGTATTATTCAATACATTATTTTTGAGACTAAAATTATAAAAATTGCTATTTTATTGAATTTTAAGCATTTATAAAAGTTGAATTTTAGATAAAAATAATTATTATTTTTGTATCATAATTATTTATAACTTTAATATTAAATTTTTTAATTTGTTTGTTACTTGAGGAATCTTTTTCAAATTTTTTTTTAAATACATACTTATATATATTATTAATTTTGTAATCTTCATGTCTTATTTAACATTTAAAAAATACAAAAATGTATGAAATGATAAACAAAAATGTTATTTATTTTATTTTATAAATAACTAATGACTGAAAATATTAATATTATGTTTTGAGAAATGGTATTTTTTATTATTATTATTACACTGAAAACTACTTTCTTTTTGTTATTTTAGCATTTGTTTGATAAACACTATCTGACAGATAAATATTAACAAACAAAAAATAACAATAACATTACTAACAATAACTACAAAAATGAAAATATTAATTCATTTTCATCTATTGAATAACAATTTGCTATTAATCCAAAATATATGTTATAAAAGTTATTATAAGTTCTGTTTTATAAGTTTACAAAAATAATACAAATATAAAATGCTGTACAATAAAATATATATATAAATATTTATATTATTTTACAATTTTTAAAATAAATTATTTATATTTTATAACTAAAAAAAATTAATATATAAATAATAAATTAAACTAAACTATAAATATTTTTGATACAAGAATTTTGATATATTAAATTTATATTAAGATGAGTGAAAGTGAAATAATAAAATGATAAAAGTAATTAAATTATATGTTTTAATAATCACTAGATTTTTTAATTAGATTTTTAATATAAAATTGTAGTATATTAATAATTTAAGATATAAATACCTAATATTTGATAATAATTTAAAATTTAGAAATATTTTACTAAAACAAAATAATAATTTAATTATCAAATAAACTTGAAATTTTTGCTACATTTGCTACATATATACAGTACTTATCTCTATATTTATTATCTATCAAATGGCTGTCAACCTATTTAATGGTTAAACCTTTGACTTAAACCCTTTTTAAGTGACAGCATTGACCATACATTTTATATCATGACATGCCTGTGCAACAAATGTAACTATAAATTATTGTATCATTAAATAAAATAAAATTTTTATCTAAAATACAATAAATTATTATGTCTAAAAAATATTATTAAAACTTTTTTTTTAAAAATAATTATCTATGATTAATGATTATAATAAACTAATTTTTAATTTTATCAAATAATTGATTTTAGTAATATAGTCAAAATTGCAAAATTTTAGTTTTCAACTTTTTTCATTATTAATAATGGCAAGTTAACAAGTTTTTTATATGTCAATCAAATTGAAAATTTAAGTTTGATTTTATTATTAAAATATTTTCTAAACTTACAAAAAAAATTATTTTTTATTATCTTTTAGAAAAATTTCTATATTGATTATTTGTTCATAATGTAAAATATAAACATATGAAAAAAACTTTTTTCTCCAATAGATCTATATTGAAAAAAATATAATATAATTTTGTTTATCTTGTAAATATCATAAATTTAATAAAAATTTCTAAAATAACAAATAATTTAACAAATGACAAACATTAATGAATAGTTGATTTTATTAGATAATCAAATTAGAAACAAAATAATTAAATTATTTGTGTTTTAATTGAATACCTTATTATTAAAACGACAAATACTTGAAATACATTGTATTTGTTTTTTCAGTAAAGTCTTGAATAAATTTTCAGACAAATATCTAAATACATTCATTGAATACAAATGATTGATTCAGTAGTAATCAATATAAACAGTCAAACATATGATAATTTGTTATTTTTTCTTAAACTGTTTAGTCAAATGTAGGTAAATTGTAAACATTATAGACTCTATGATAGAAACTATAGCATATATATTGCTTATTATGTAAGTATATGTTACAGAAAAAACTTTTATACATACATAATATCTTTCATAAATTTATATGTTTGATATAAAGTTAACCGTTTTATATACATATATGTGGGCGACAAATACACGCACTGTTCACTTATAGACAATTCAAACATACTATATTAAAATCTATGAGACACGTGAGGCATATACTCAAGAGAGAGAGAGAGAGAGAGAGAAAGAGAGAGAGAAAAGAGAGAGAGAGAGAGAGAGAGAGAGAGAGAGAGAGAGAGAGAGAGAGAAAGAGAGAGAGAGAGAGAAAAGAAAGAGAGAGAGAGAGAAGAAAGAGAGAGAAAAAAAAAGAAAGAGAGAGAGAAGAAAGAGAGAGAGAAGAAAAAAAGAAAGAGAGAGAGAGAGAGAAGAGAGAGAGAGAGCATTTCTCGATGTTATTGACTTAGTCTAAAGATAGTCACTTATATACAGAATATTCTGTATTTTATATATACTGTGATAAAATATATCCTAAAATGCATTTAATATTGTATTATACAAAATACGAATAATCATTGCATGATTGCCAAAAATCTTTTTATATTTACAGTATATATCATACAGTTATATATTGTATACATTATATTGATTTATCAATCTATCAATCTGTTTGTCAATCTATCATTGTTTTTGTTTTATCTATTTTTATCGCATTAATTTTATATAAGTTTTGTCAATCAAAATCAGTTTTTATGTCATAAAAATATTATATAAAACAAATAGCTTATTGTTTATTATATACAAAAGACAAGAATAGTAGTCAAATAACGTTGATTTTTGGATAAAACAACATATAGTATAATACATATACAAACCCCATATATACACACATATATATAATAGACATCACATCTTATATCACAACCAGACATCAGATATTTATTTATTGACGACAAAGACAAACATCAGTCGACAATCAAATATAAATATAATAGAAATCTCTGCGGAATTTTTCAATGGAAATTTATGTAATTTGTATTTTTATATTAAAACAAAATAAAATGACATTTACTTACTAATAGTAAACAAATAGTAGACAAAAAATATACATTATAAAAATTAGATTACATAAAATGTTAAATTAATTTAAAATCACATATAAGAAAGAATATTATATAAAATATTAAAGTAAATATATATATATATATTAAAAGTTTATAAATAAAGTCTTTAATATTAACTATAGTTTTCAAACAAATGAATGTTTTTTTTGTGTTTTATTCGATTTTAGGCTAAAATATATGTATAATATATTTTAGAAAAAATACATATAAAATGCATTCATATGTAAAATGAGTGATTACGTTGAAATGATTGCTAAATATAAATAATCGTTAGATATTTTGTGTTTTTTTTTGTTAAACACATACAATCTCTCTCTCTCTCTCTCTCTCTCTCTCTCTCTCTCTCTCACACACACACACACACACACACACACACACACACTCATACATACAGGAATCTCATAGGAATGTCATCTTTTATCTAATTTTATTGTAGAGTCTGTAAAATCAGCTCCAAAAATAAATCCCTGGTATTTATTGTGAATAAATGTATTGCAATTGTTTGAGTGATTGAACGCTTCAATTAGTGAGAAAAATATATATAAAAAATAGAAAGAGAGAGAAAAAATCCAATTTTCTTGTTGTTGTTTTCTTTATGACTGCATTTGCATAAATACATCCTAAAATCAATACACAAATGGCACTTACGATATATACTGTATATATATATATATATATTTATATATTGATAGCAATAATATACTGTATATACTGTAAATAATACTTGAAAAAGTTTAATACTGTTATATTTTGTGCATAAAACCGTATTTTTAAAAACAATGCAAACGTTTGCATATTATTTCAAAATGGTTATGAATTATATATATATATATGCTATAGATATTTACACATAAAACACATTAAATATGTAATTTAATTAAGTTTGAAATGCTATGATAAAATCTAAGTTAAACTGTAAATTAAAATAAATGACAATTTTTTTTAAATATATTATATATATATCATAATAAAAAATTTATATATATCAC